AGTAATTTGGGGGATGGCCCCCTTGTGACACACAGAGTACACTACTGATTTCTAGATGGGCACACATGGCAATATTTACATAGAGAGTGGAATATTCAAGTCCATTTAATCAACACACTTCTGTGAATATTGTTTAAGTACTTCATATTCAGAATAGAGAAGCAGACTTTAAAAAGAGCAGAATGATCTACGAGTACAAACTCTCTCTTATACACACACACACAGCATGGGCTGTCCTCAACCACTGACGGGGCTCCAGCCATGGAGAAGACCACATCCTTTCTCCTCACAAGGTTTCTAGAATGGGGTCAAAGGTGAGCCTCGAGCCAGGCCGTGCCCCTGCAGTCACAGCCCTCCTGTCTGTGGCTGAGTCACCAGGATGCCTGGGCATGCCCAGCCCCAAGTCTGCAGTGGACTCTGCGATGAGATGGCCCAGTGACCGCAGAACCCTGGGGTCAGCTGTGGGGTCAACATGGCTCCCCGGACCCTGGGGTGAAAGTCACGTCTGAGGCCCCTTGCCCTGTGCCTCTGCTGCTCGCACAGCCTGGGTGGCAAAACGTGTCTGCCTTCGACCTTACACAAAGGAAGTGGGAGGGGAGACTGCACTGTGCACATTCTGCCAATTCCAGGTGTATTTTAAATAAACACGCCGCACTATGGAAAAGGTATGTAAAGCACACCTTCCGTAAAAAGCCACTACCTCCCCATCATAGTCCTGCCCTGGGATTTGCATTCTTCACATGGCTGGGTCTAAAATGAAGTACAGTGGCTTCCCCATCCCTGGGGGGGGCACATCCCCAGTGGGTGCCTGAAACCACCGATTGTACTGAGTTCTATGGTTACTGTCTTCTCCTACCTTAGGCACAGTAAAAGATTAACAATGGTAACTAATAATAAAATATCCATTTAACAATATACTGTCATAAATGTGACTTCAAACTTATGAACTGCTTTTTAAAAACTTATGAATTGTTTATTTCTGAAATGTTCCACTTAGTATTTTGGACCATGCTTAACTATGAGTAATTGAACCCAAAGAAGGAAAGCCCATGGCATATGGGAGACTACTGTAAACCTTTTGTTGTCCTAAAAACTTGTCTCCCTCCTTCCAACTCTTGCCTCCTTATAATTCATTTCTCAAAGGCAGCCAGAGAGATCTTTACAAAAAGTAAATTAGATCACGCTGCACCACTGCCAGAAACCGGGCCACCCCACCTGCTGCTCTATTTTGCAGCCTTTACCACCTGCTGTTCCCTCTCCCTGAACCCCCTTTCCTTGGACCTTCTTCCCCTGTGGCTCCTTCCTCTTGCTGGTCTCCAGGGGCGCTCCCCAGCTGGCCACCCTCCAGCTCCCCCATTGTGTGAAGATGTCTTTGCTGTCTGAAATCCACTTGCTCAGTTATCATCTTACATGCTAACACCTAGCTCCTTGACCATGAGAACAAGGGCTACATGACTCTATTTCACAGAGACTTTCTGCAGGTGTCTTCTGCCCTCACAGAGGAGAATGCAGAGGCAGTGCTCTGGAGCTCCAAGAAAGAATGGAGCCAGGCAGCGGTGTCTGTATGCAGTAATTCAGGCTGGCTGGACGCAAACAAGGAGCGAGGTGCATCCCCAAGGATGCTCTGGGTCACGGGCCAGGTTTGGGAAAAGTAGCCAAATCCTGGGGGTTTCCCTAGAACCCAGGGGAGATGCAAGTAAGCTTTAAAGATGAGTGTTTGCATTTGTGCTAGAATGGGAGGCCTCCCACATACAGCCACCTGCTGGCTTCCTCTTCCAGCAGCAGAACCTTCTCAGGCCCTGGGCACGTGAGGGCCGGGCTCTCACCCCATTTTCCAGGAAAGCCAATGTGAACAAAACCTCAAGGCAGACAGGGGCAGATCAGAAGTGCTCGCAGGCTGGAGGCCCACTGCCTGGCCCGCAGCCTGCTTAGCACAGCCAGAAGAGCCCTCGGTAGGAGAAACCCCTCTGAACAGGGTCGGAAGGACAGGACAGGACAACATCTTAGAAACCCAGGTATCTCCCAGCCAGATGGAGGCAGGACCTGGCCACTGGTCAGAAATAAACACAGCACAACACAACAGACTGAGACATCTGCACCCCAAGGCCCAGCGAGAGCATCTGGAAATGTGTCCTGGGTTCTTGGGCAGGAAAGACGGAAGTCCCAGTACCCGGGAGGCAAGACTGTACCCAACTCTTCCTGGTGGCCACAGCAGTGGGACAGCAGGGGCTCACCATGGGCACAGCAGCCGTGCTGGGCAGAGTGTGGGGACCAGGCCAGCCGAGCCCTGAATGTTACCTGACCAGCAGCACCTTGCTACTTCTGGAGCCACATGAGTAGGAATTACCCTACTCTCATACCATGTCAGGCCAGGGCGGTGAGTCCTCGAGCTGAGAAGCCGAAACGGGGCACACAGGCTGAGGCAGCGCCAGGCTGCAGAATGCTCTGTTTCCTTTGTGTCACTAATTCTGCTCCGTGCTGGGGCAGGCGGGCAGGCTCCAGGCAGAGGACCTCCATGCTCACAGAGGACCATACAATGCCATGGAAGAGACCACTAGAGGGGGCGATGCGCTCTTATCTATAATCTAGTCACTTTGAGAAGTGCCACTGTGGGAGCTACACTCCCTTGTTTTAGAGCCTTTTAATGTCCACTGGCACAGTAAAGGTTCTGAAAAGTCCCTCAACAAATACATTTTTTAAAAACTTGGTTGAGCCTAGTTACTTTCACATTTTCAAGCTATGGAAACTTTTCCAGAGGATTCTCCTAGAATCCCACAGGCAGGAGTCATGCAGAATGTACTTCTTCCTGGTGAGCTATCTCCCTGAGTTCACCATGCCTGCGGGCCTGCCTGTGTCCACAAAGACGCCTCAAGGCTCCATGCTCAGCTGCTTCCTCTGCAACATGAGCAAACCCATCCAGGAACCTGTGGCTATTACAGACATTCGTGACTACCTGGGGTCACCTGGATACTGGTGGGTCCCCAACATCTTCATCTTCAACAGGGGATGAGGGATGGGATGGGAGACCGCAGCTTTTCACTCTGGGGACTACTAAACTAGCACCTGTCACAGACATCTGGAGACACTCCTGCCCTGCTCAGACACTCATTTGATCCTAAAGCACCTCGTGGCCAACACAGTCCCCGGATGCACGGGGGGATAGGTACAGTTACAGCCTGATCCCCTGAATTAGCTGCATTCTCCACACTGACAGCCCCTTCCAATAAGCACTGAGACGTCACCTTGGCCCTTTTGGATGCAAGTCACACGCAACAGAGTGCACACAGGTCTCCATGGAAAACTGCAGGGACCCTGCACCCAATTACATGGGCTCGGGCAAAAAACGGGCCACACAGCCACACTACCAGGTCAGCTCGGGAAGGCACAAGGGCAGGATGTCCTGCGCAAGCAGCCCTGAGGTCTCAGCTTGATGGGTTTAGGGGATGCTTTTGGTTGGCGGTTTCACTAGAGAGAGGATGCAGAAACTACTAGAAGTCACAGAATCTCCAGATAACTTGGCTCATCAAGACTGTGTAAAGTACAAAATCAACAGCTTCTGAGTGAGCATTAAAGGATTTTCCTGGCACCAAAGAGTGTGAATTCAGGTTTTATCATAACTACTGGAGGTGAAGTGCTCCGGCAAATTTCCTACTCCTGGGCTGAGTCCTGAATGTTAATTTTACTAAATAATTGAGTTTTCAGGGTACAGATTAGGGATTCCTAATCCAAAAATTCAAAACACTCTGAAATGCAAAACTATTTTGAGCACTAACACAATGCTCAAAAAGTTTCAGATTTCAGATTATTATGAATTCCAGACTTTCGTAGTGGGGATGCTCAACTGGTGAAGTCTTTACAATATTCCCAAATTGAAAACACTTCTGGTCCCAAGTGCTTTGGGAAGGGGTGCTCACCCCGTGTGTGAGATGCTACTGGCTATAAAACTCGAAGCCGGGGCAGGCACCTGCCAATTAGGGTTTCCTTAAGAAATTCTTAGGGGGCCAGGGATTTAGCTCAGTGGTTTCATCGCCTGCTACGCAAGCGCAAGGACTAGAGTTTGATCACCAGTACTAAAAAAAAAAAACAAGGAAGAAGAAGAGGAAGAGGAGGAGGAGGAGGAGGAGGAGGAGCAAACTCCTACCACTTGCTTTTTCTTTTTTCCTCTGGAGCCCTCAAGAAAAAGCTGCTCTGCTTGCCTCCTCCTCTCCACCTTGCAGCTGTTCCTTGCTGATCTCAGGTGGAGTCTGATCAATGCAACTGGAGGCCCTTCCACCCCAGACCCAGATCAGAATATCACAGCAGCTCCAACAAGATGCACCCTGGCGAGGCTCTGCCTGAAAATTTGGGCACCTGCAGATCCACACAGGGCCTTCCTGCATCTTCCTCCAGGGCCCCCTACAGGAGGACATTGCTGCCCTCCTGTCAGTGTGCCCTGCGTCCCTCCAGCCCGCAGCAGGGAGCCGCTGCTGCCACCCAAATGCCCACAGGCCCCATTCATGCTCCTGCTGATGGAGCCCTTTCAATGACCACCCACTCTCCTTCCTCCTGCTGACCTCTCACCCCTCCCCCTACACACAAAGGAGGGCTATGAAGTGGTGCTTTGCTCTACAGGAAGAGAGAAGGCTAGTTTTCCTTCCTCTCTGCTTTCCTATCCTCGATCTAAATTTGGCAACTGGAAAGAAAGTGGAAGCAGTTAAATGGACCCAGTTCATGACCCTGGGGGACAACACGCCTATGGCCACAATTGCCCTCTTTGGCTTTTCTGCTGAGGTTCCAGGGGGGAGCATCTAAAACTGTAACCACCCACCCCCAAAACTCCTGCTGGGCGATGCTAGTTGCACAGCACCACAGGCTATTGTATTCAAGTCCCTAAATTAAGTGGGGACCCTGAGGCCTAAGAGGTTGAGGAATATGCTGCACCCTGGCCATGCAGTGAACTTCCGGGGCTGGAGGATTTGGGGCACCTTCCTTAGAGGCAGTGAGAAAGTGGAGCATCTTACCGTCATCCAAGTAGGTCTGGTCCAAGTTCTGCTCCTGTTTAATTGTCACTCCCGTGGGTAGTACTTCCTTTTGCTCACTGACTGGGGGTCCGTTTTTGGCGGCTCTTTGGCTGGGGGCATTCTGCTGTTGAATAACTGTGGGGTAGGAACCCGGGCTTAGCCTCTGACCTTGACTGACAGGAGGGAGGCCAGGCCGGGCAGTGCCAGGTGCAAAATTCTCGCAGTACATGATGTGCTGGAACTCCTGGTGACTCCCACAGCGCAGCTGCTGGTTGGTGGGCGAGTAGTGGATGACCGGTGAGGCCTGCTGGTTGGCAGGAGTGGGGTGGAGCAGGGCTGGGTTCTGGCCCTGGGAGCCGGTGTGCACCAGCACAGAGCGGTGGGCATCTGCGAGGGACAGGGGTGCAGCCATGAGGGCTGGCTGCTGGTAGCCCAGCAGGCTGGGGCTCAGGCTCTTGCTCCGCTGGTAAAGAACGGCCGCTGGGTTCTGCTGCTGGTAGCGGGCGTCAGGGGATGACAGCCCTGATCGGAACTGCTGGCAGGGAGCCATGGTGGCCACAAGGCAGGATGGGGACTCGGCCACCATCGGGTGCTGGGGGTAGTAAGGCTGGCTCCCCAGGCCTCCATGGGCGGGGCTGCAGATCAAAGAGGGGTCGTACTCATCGCTGGGCTCTGTCTTGACGGCTGGGACTGCGAGGAGAGAAAGGCACACGGTTGTGCTAACCACAGTGAGCTGCGATGTCACAGAGGGTTGGCAGACAGTGGCTGGGGACAAGGCTTCAGGGGCCCAGATGGCTGGGACCAAGTGGCTGCGCTCTGCCACTTATCAGCCTTGGCCAACAGGCTCCCTGTGGGATTGACTTCAGTTGGAAACGTCACCCTGGCAATGACCAGAATTATAAGTTTTTCCAATACTGGAAAGGTGGTTGGTAGGGCTGACTCAGCACTGGAAACTTCACAGCCTCATTCCCTGAGGTGAAAGCTCAGAGAATATTTAAAACTATCCTTCCCTCTAGCCAGGTGGATGCATGTAATCCCAGCATTCTAGGAGGCTGAGGCAGGAAGAATGTAGGTTCAAACCCAGCCTGGTCAACTTAGCAACTTAGTGAGACCCTCACTCAAAATAAACCCTTTTCTAAAGTAGCTGGGGATGTAGCTCAGTTAAAGGCCCTGGGCTCAACCTCCAGAAACACAAACACACACACACACACTTACACAATAGGGCCAGGGATTTCGTTCAGTGGTTCCAGCACCTGCCTTGTAAGCACAAGGTCCCAAGTTTGATTCCTGGTACCCCTCCCCCCCAAAAAACTATACCTCTCTCTTCCCCTGACCCTGGCAGTTCCTGTCTTAGCCCCATTTTCCTTCCCACTACCTGTCACCCTCTGAAACACTGTGCACGTCTTACAGACAGACTTATTTATTATCTGAACCTCTTCCTCCAGAACACTAGCTCCTCCAAGGGAAAGGTTTTGCTTGTTTTGTTCTCTACTGGATCCTCTGAGCCCAAAACAGCAGCTGGTACTTAACTGATGCTCAGATTTTTCTGGACAATGGAACAACTGTCACCCTCTTCTGTTCTGTAGTAATTGGAGAGAATGAGATCTCCTGGCTCAGGCCTCAGTTTCCCCACCTGTTACCTGGCAGTAACAACGACCCTACCCAATGAGGGAGTCGGGAAGATTAAATAAGATGTGTATGCAGGGCACAGAGCAGTGAGCAGCATGCAGTCAGTGCTCAATCCTTGCTGCGGCTGCTGTTGCTTCCTCCGTATTATTACACCACCCCTTGTGCGGTCCCGTAGCTGTCCCCTTCTCCCCACACCCCCAGCACTGATCATCAGAAATTCCCCTCCCTGCATCTTCACTAAAGCCTCAGCAGGCTGGGAGCAGGGGATCCCTCTTCTTCTCCCTGGAACACGTGGACTGTGGTGACCAGGCTGCAACCAAGGTGGGCAGGCTGAGCTCCCCAGCGCTGGGGGTTGGGAGGAGGCAAGTAGGGTGGCCTGCCTGACACCAGCCACCAACGCCCTGTCTCAGGATGCCACTGGGGGCCCATATCTCAGGTTCTCGTCTGGGCCCTGCTCAACCAGGTGAGAGCTGAGGCCAAGCTTAGGGAGGCCTCATTACCACAGTGAGAGGGTAGCACACCGGTGACAAAGCATAATAAAAAACCTCTGTCTCATTCAAAGGGACCGCTCGGCTGCAGGGTCGAGCTGCCCAGCAAGGCTCCCCCATAGTGTTGCGTCCTATGATGCCTGGGGGCTCTGACTGTGCTCCCGATGGCTTGTCACAGTAGTCCTGGGACAGAGGTATCCTCACAGTGACCAGCACAAATCTGCTGAGCAGTCCACCAAAGCCAGGCCCGCTGAGGCCAGGCGGGCTGCGGGTTCAATGCTCCCGGCCCCCTCAAAGGCTCCAGATGACACTATCAGAGGACAAGGCTGATGACCTGGGCGTTACAGGTCTGGGACCACAGGTTTCCCATCTCAGAAAGTGGCCAGCAGGCCATTCTCAGCCTGGGAAGGGGAGCCTATGTCCCAAGGCACAGCCCAAAGAAGTATTTTTTAAATTTAAAATCACACTATCCACCCATCATCCAACGTATGAATAATATCAATGCCATCTGCTAGTGGAGGCCCCTTTGTTAGAAGGTCAGTTCCACGTGGGCAGGAGTTTTAGGTATTTAGCCCATGGCTGGGTGTGTAAGCCAAGAGCAGTGCCTGGCACCCAAATATTTTCAGGATGGATGAATGAACGAATGAATGAAAACTGGCAATCCTCACCCTTCTTGGGTGATGCAGAACTCTGAGAATGAGGCCTCCTGGCCTCTATCCACCCAGTAACTCCGGCTCACCACTGGGGGACCTCAATGGAGATCAATGAAAGATTCTGCAATCGCTTCTCGGCCTTTTGGCTAAGATCAAGTGTAGTATGAAAGATTCTGCAGGGTTGTTTGCCATACCCCCCTTTGACCCCTAGCATGATCAAATCTAAGACCTGGACAGAAGTCATCTGCTTAGCAACCTGCCATTGTACCTATCTGCTCGTGCCCTTCTCCCTCCCCACACAAAGGGAAACGTTAATGACAACCCTAGCCAATGCACCATGCTACATATTTTGTGTACATTTGATCTCCACAACTCTTAGAAGGAAGGTGCCATCCTTCCTTGCTGTTCTCAGATGAGAACACTGAGGCTCAGAGAGGTTGAGTCACCCGGTAGCCCAGCTGGGAGCAGAACTTGAGAGTCCTGAGCACCACACCTCTCAACCCAGAAGGGCCATCAGCAAGGACTCCTTACCTGGTAGGTAGATAAAGTGCTGAGGCTGACTTCGCTTTCTTTTCCCATTGATGACATAGAAATTCACCTTCACAGAGGTGCGGATGTGCTTATTCCGATACTCAGGGATCTCAACAAAAAGCATGTTCTGGAAGGAAGGAGTTGTCATGAATTTAACTGCAGCAATGTCTGCACTCCTGCCTGACCCTCAGTACAGCCAGCCGGCCCGCCAATGGCAAGGAGTCTTGGTGTATTCCCTGCATTTACAGGCAAAACTTGATTTAAGGGGGATTTAATGTCTCAGCTGCAGCAAGGAAAGATGCTCTGTGAAAGTATTCTAAGATGCCACAGTTGCAAAGCAGAAGGCTTGGAACTCAGTAAATGTGCAATTCACTTGTCAATTCAGTAGGCACTTATTGAGCAACTGCTGGGTACAACAGCCAACAGGGAGCGAGGGAAGGAGGGAAAGGAGGAGGAAAGGGCGGAGAGAGGGGAGGAGGGATGGAGGAATGCACAGAGAGAGGGGACCACAGCAGGGGCTCGTGAGCACGCAGCTGTCTGTCAACCTTCCCCGGGGCTTACAGGCTGGCTCTTGTCTTTATCCACGGTGGCTTCCATCTCCCAGATCTGCTGCCCATCTGGAAAGCAAAAAACGACAAACTTTGAAGGAACTATGAGGAACCAAGGTTTAAGACAAAAACTCACCAGCAGTGCTTATCTTGTTTACATACGGTATCTTTCTGTGAGCTGTGCATGTGTATATATAGTTATGTTATTTATATGGGTGAATATTGCTTTTTCCAAAAGGAAGTGATGTTGACAATAGAAAAAGGGATGTTACCAAAGAAAAGAAAAAAGACAGAATAGAAATTGCTCTGAATCCTATCATCATTATCTTTTTCCCTCTGTGTATGAATGTCTACTTTAAAAACAAAAAAGCATTGTTAGATATTAAGCTTGATTATGTGCTTTGTTTCACCAAAGGTTGTTTCCAAAAGGCTCTGCATATGCCAAGACTGTCCCTGGGGCCTCATTATGGTCCCCGACTATCCCAGACATGCCTTCTCCTTTGTCTGGGAACACAGGTGGTTTGGATATTCTGTCCTAATCAAGAGGGAAGCTGAGGGTGACCTATGTGGTGTCCAGGTCCATGAGTCACCAGAGAGCATGGAAACATAGGAGCCCACCCTCCACCTTTCCGGCAGCAGCCGGCCAGGGTCTCCTATGAGTCACAACAACAACCAATGAGAAGATTTTGCTAGACAGTCCATTCTCCTTCCCAGGAACAAACCCCTGTTTCCCCAGTTTGGGGCCAGAAAGTCAGGCCAAACAAAACTCTGCATTCGCAAACTGTCAATTTCTCTTGCTGACCACCTACATGGGCTACTAGGCAGTTTTCAGCTGAAACAAATCATTTCCACAAGGGTTTCCAGGGTGTTTTGTGGAACACTGATTTGAAGGATATTAAATGGTTTTATGAGAAGGGGGAAAATTCTACAAAAGTGTTTGGAAAATGCCAAGTCAAAGTTAAATGGGCTTCATGACCACAGGGCTCCTCGGGGCATAGCGTGTTCACCTGCCGAGGGACTCCAAAGTGGGCTGAAACATGCATTCAACCCGTTTTATAGGTGAGGACTCCTGGGCACTGAGAAGCAAGAGTACAGCCAGGTCACGCTGCTCGCAGGCGGAGAAGCCAAGTTTGAGCCTGGGCAGCCTGGGCAGCCTGGCTTCGGAGCCTGTGTTCCTTATCCCACGACACTGCCCAGGTGGCTCCAGCCTGAGCAAACAGGTCCTGCAGGCAGCGCTTCCTCGGGATGTCCCCAGGTATGACAGGGCCTGCCTCCCCCAAGGCTGCCCAGAACCTTGCAGGTTTGGGGGCAGGGGGGAGAAGGCCAAGGGGTGGAAGAGGAGACACCTGCAACACATCACTTAAACCCTGTCTTCTTTATCATCCTTTGGCACACAGTCCATCACATGTTAATGTTTAAAAAAACAAGCACTTTTTAATCAGAAAGTAATAAACATTGTTGAATTGTAAGTACTAATCTTTCTGCCCACAGGTCTGGGCTGGAGGGCATTTACAAAGGGACGGCATCCCTTATGAAGAGGCACTTGGTTTTCTTTGCTTTCAAAAATGGGTCTTTTCACCATTATCTTTTTAAAAACAGAGAAAAAATACTCACATGAACCTTCACAGGTATGAGAAACAATACCTAGCCTACCACAATACCTAGCCCACAGGGGTCTGCCTTCTTTACTATCACCTTTCGGGGTCAGAAGCTCCCAAGGCAGCCTGAGGACCCAGCCTGGCCTGTGTAGGCCCCACACTCACTTCCCGGCAAACAAGTCCTCAACAGGAAGTGAAAGTTGACCTCAGCCGTCTTCCTTGATTCAGAGTCACACAGCATGGGGAATGCACACTCAAGCAGCTGGTCTCTAAGGGAAGTGTGTGGTTTGCAAAATGTCTCAAGGCCATTTTCGTGGGCTCCTCTCTTCTCCCTCTACCCTGTACCCACTGGTACACACGTCCTGAGGTGTCACTGGGAGGTCACATAAGCTCATCCTCTGCGTCGCACTCTCTCCAGGTGACGGGATTTTAAATGGACACTGGGAGGCCCCTCAGCCATGGTCAAGTCCTGCTGTCCCCTGTCCTGCATGTATGGCTTCTGAGGGGTAGCTAAACCTCTATATGCCTCAGTTTCCTCATCAGCAATATTGTAGTTAATATGACAACCTCACAAAACTGTGGTGAGCATTAAATTAGAGGGTGTGTAAAGTGCTTAGCCAAAGGCCCAGGCCATCCATGCTCAGTGCTGTGGTCACTGTTCACGTAGAATATGGAGTCTCGAGGGCACCCTGGCCCAAGCACCTGGGTATCAGGGTTGCACACTTCATTGCATTACAGTCCACATCACAGATAAAGAAAATGGTTATAGGAAGCATTCACTGACAGGGGACTGGATGAATTAATTACAGCCACCTCCAATCACTGTGGAAGGCTGAGTGTATGATACAAGAACAGGAGGCAGCCAGCCCTCAGAAGGAGGCAGATCTGTGTTCTCTGACCTGGAAACACTGTGACTCCATTAAAAAGAAAACTGGTTTGCATGCTGCTGACTGGTATGAACAGAACGATGCCACTCTGTAACGTGCTCTGCAGAACACAGGGGGCCTTTGCCCAAGCTCCCCACAGGGGTGCCCCCTGGGGCCAGGCTGGCTAGCTGGACGCCTTCATATTGTCCTTCACTGATACCAGAAGCACGGAGAATGACAAGTGGCAGTAATTTGTTTGCATTATGCTTAATGAAGTATTTTTCCTAAGAAAATGGTATATTACACCTGCCTGCTTCCTTGCCTGCCTCCCAGGAGGCTTTGGGGACCGCCAGGATCCCCAGCTCAATGAAGCTCCTCTTGCATGGCAGGCCCTGTGCGGGGCCAAGGGTGAGCCATCCCCAGACAAGGAGGCACAGCCTGACAGTCAGCTGTGCTCCAGACACGGACTCGCCGCTGCTGGGATGGGAACCCTGCCTCTCTGCCCTGCTTTCTTCCCCAGCCTGGCCTCTGCTATGCAGGCTGCCTCCTCACCTCGGAATTTGCTGCTTCCACCTCCTGGGATGCTCTTCTCCACGCCTCCTATGGCCAGTCCCTTCCTGTCCTACAGGGCCGGTGCAGGGAGGTGCCCTTTTATTTTCCACTCCTCTCCCACATCAGTTCGGCTACTTTCCTCCCACCTCAGGCTGTGAGCTCCCCAAGAGCAGGGCCATACCTACCCTATTCTCTGCCTTATCCCCAGAACCACAGCAGGTGGCGTGTAAGAGCTGCTCAATAAACCCTGGGTGACTGCCAACATAAGGAGACCTCGGGATTCCCAAAATGTCAGATCACTGCTCTCCAGTAAAGGTCCCAGAGAGGAGGCGTTGAGCCCTCACTGCAGAGCCCCTTTCGAAATCAACTGACGAGGAAGGAGCTGGGAGTACAGGTGCAGGCGATGAATCATGTGCGATCAGAGCAACTCAGCCCCGAGGGGACACTTGGTGCCAGGCATTACCCATCTCCCAACCCTGTGACAGGTCTGGGGTTGGGGCAGCCCTGCTTCGGTGAAACAGCACTGACGACCGAGGACGCTCCTACTGCACGGGGCTGAGATGAAATGAAGGACTTTGGTCTCCCGAGCAGACGTCCTGGCAAACGTCCCCTGTCCTAAATTAACAGCCTGGCAGCCAGGATGAAAATGGCCCTTCCAAGTCTTAGTCAGAGAGGAAGAAAAAGGGGCCAAGAGCTTTGCGAGAAGGGCCCTAGTTGAGAGACTGAGCAAGACTGCCAGAAAAAAACTGGTGAGGGGCACGGCTCGGTCAACACCGTGGCCTTGTGCTAACTTCGCTGCAGCCACTGCCGACGTGAGCAGCAAACCCGGCTGAGATGCAGGGAGGAGGAGTGGGGCAGGTGAACCAAGGTCCCTGTGCTTCCGCTGGGTTGTCTTGCAGGCAGCTCTCGCGCACTAGGAAGGGATGGAAGGAGACGCACAGGAAGCAGGAGGGCTGGCTGGGTGGGGCTGCGTCTCAGCCAGGCTGGTGTCGGCACTCACAGGGCAAGCGAGGGAGCCTGCAGGAGGAGGCAGGCAGCCGCGTCCACACTTGGGCCGTGAACATGCCACAGGGCCCGAGGACACAGTGAGGACGTGAGAGCGTCAGCTCACGTTAGAAAACCGTGCCTGACACTTGCCAGGCTGGGCTCTGCTTTCAAAAATGAGCTAAATAAGGATGGTTGAAGTCATCTTGATCTGCTGCTCACAACTGGTACCTAACAGGAAACCATGTGCTCCCAGAAGCATAGGCTTAATATGCCCAGCAGACTTGGGGAATCAGGAATGGCCCCTTAGCTTGGGACTTCGCCCGTCTGGAATGGTAACGCTGCCCAACTGGACAACAGAGATCTGGAGAGGAAGCCGCTGGACTCCTGGGGTGGTCCCTCTCTCCCGCCCCACTACTGCCTGACCATCCCTGGCTCCCAGCACCGGGTCAGGCTCACATCTCCCAGTGTCCACCTGCACACGGCCCACACCCAGTCCATCCCTCCTGTGATGACCAGCGTAATCTTAAAAATATGAGCCAGATCATGCCATGGCCCTGCTGAGAACCTGCAGGACTGCTCACAGGTTTGGGGAGAAACCTCCCCACTCCTCGCTATGCCTGCAGAGCCCCAAACCTCTCCAGGCTCACTGCCCACCCTGCAGTGTATCAGCTGCCCAGTCTGCTTTCGGTTCCTCCATCGCCCCAAGCTTGTCCCTGTGCTGTGACCCAGCCTGGCCGGATCCTCCAGCCTGCAATGTTTTCTTCAATGGTCCATGTGGCCCTTCTTTCCCAGCCGTAGGGCTCCACTCAAAGCCACCTCTTCTGGAAGGTTCCTCCCTGACGACTCTGCCCCAAGGTTTACATCATTGAAAATACAAGCGAGCCACTTAAATTTGAATTTCAGAAAAGAGTGATATCCCCCCCGCCCAGCATTTCCCTCATCTGAGGGTCCTGCTTATCAATGAGTTTGAGATCGTCAGCCCCAAGGGTGGGACCTCATCTGTCCTGCGTCCTGGGCCTGGTCTAGTGCTGCACGGAGGAGGTACGAGAACAAACGCGGGAGCAGT